GTGTGGAATCGTCAGAGGTGGAGGAATAAAGTAATATAGATTTTTGCTGCTAGCCTTAAGGATATTAAGAAGGCCTTATAAGTAAAGAAGCATATGAACCCTGCTAATAAGCTACTAGTATGCTATCATGAGTTCCTAGGAGTATTTAACTAAAGAAAGGCTGATAAACTACCCCCATACTGCCATGGGGTTAATCACTGCATTAAGTTGACTAAGGGCAAAGATAGGAAGCCAGCAGAACCCCCATGGGGCCCCCTGTATTCTATATCACGCGGTGAACTGCTTGTCCTATGGAAGATGCTAACAGAGCTACTGGAGAAGAACTTCATCTATATTAGTAGTTCTTCTGCTGCTGCTCCAGTGCTGTTCACCCATAAGCTAGGTGGGGGGCTATAATTCTGCATAGACTACTGCGCACTAAATATAATTATAAAGAAAGATTGATACCCACTGCCCCTAATTAATGAGACCTTAGAGTATATATTAAAGGCAAAGTGGTTTACTAAGTTGGATGTGATCGCCGCATTTCATAAGATTTGCATTGCTCTGGGAGATGAGTGGCTGATAGCCTTCCACACATGATTTGGCCTGTATGAATGGTTAGTAACCCCCTTTAGCCTAGCAAACACACTAAGTACCTTCTAATAGTATATTAACTAGACCCTCTGAGACTTCCTAGATGAATTCACCTCCGCGTACATTGATGACATACTTATTTTTACTGATAGGTCACTGGTAAAACACTATGACCATGTACATCAAGTACTACAACAGTTATAAGCTGCTGGGTTATAGCTTGATATTAATAAGTATGAGTTTAAGGTTAAGAGCATAAAGTACCTTGGGTTCATCATCAAAGCTAGGAAAGGTGTGCGCATGGACCCTGACAAGGTAAAGGCAATACTAGAATAGCAGGCCCCTATATTAACTAGGGGTGTATAGTCATTCCTTGGCTTCGCAAACTTCTACTAACACTTCATAAGGAACTTCTCTAACATAGTACACCTATTAACAGCGCTCACACAGAAGGGGACCCCATTCTCATGGACAGGGGAACATACTAGTTAGTTTGAATAACTAAAGGAGATATTCACTACTACACTAATTCTCATGCAGTTTGACTATGACTGGGAGATAGTTGTTAAGATAGATGCCTTGAACTAGGCCACTAGAGGAATACTATCATAGTATAATAATAATGGAGTGCTGCAGCCTTGCACCTACTTCTTAAGGAAGAATTCCCCTATAGAGTGCAACTATGAAATCCATGATAAGGAGCTACTTGTAATTATTAATACACTTAAGGAATGGGAGCCAGAACTAATTAGCTTACTATAGTTCAAGCTCATCACTGACCACTGCAACCTAGAATACTTTAAGACAGTCTGACGGCTCAACAAACAGCAGATAAGGTGGTCATATGTGCTAAGCCAGTTCAACTATAAGATGCACTACCAACCTAGGAAGCTGGCTGCACGCCCCAATGCATTATTATGAAGGGAACAGGATATGCCACAAGATACTAAGGATGATAGGCTTAAGGTATAAGAGCTCTGCCTGATCCCTCCTAAAATCATTATAGACCAGGCCTGCACGCACATATCAAGCATCTATAAGGTCATGCCTGGGCTGGACATGAGTTCAGTGCATCATACTAATCAATGTAATAATCCTTACTGTTACATGACCCCATCCTTAGCCGCGCCCCCACCACTACATAAGCAATGGAGGGAGGCCACGCAAGGAGACAGGCACCTACAGGAGATAATCTAGTCAGTATAAGTAGGGGCGACAAGATTCCCTACTGAACTGTGTGTGTGTGTGTCTATCATCAAGTGTTCAACTTCTCTAGACAGCCACCTACTATATCAGGGTCGCAAGTGGGCCCCTGACTTAGAGCCACTGTGGATAAGGATCCTGCAAGAGACATATGATTCAGTGCTTACAGGGCACCCTAGGAAGAATATGCTGTATATAATAATAGCACAGAACTTTTACTAGCCAGAGCTTTCTACAGATGTACAGAGGTTTGTTAAGAATTGTGATAAGTGCAGAGCCAACTGTGTATGGTGTAAATGGTGCTAAGGCTTGCTGAAGCCATTACCAATCCTAGATTGTAAATAGTATGAGATAGCTATTAACTTCATCACCAAGCTACCCAGCTCTGGCGATTGCGAAGACATTATGGTGATAGCTAATAGATTAGGGAAGGGGGTGATACTGGTACCCTGCAAATAGACTAATGCTAAGACTGTAGCACAGCTATTAATTAACCAGTTCATTAGCTACCATGGCGTACCAAGTGTAATCACATTAGATTACAGCCCACAGTTTGTTAGTCAGTTCTGGGGCCACTTCTGCAGCTGCTTGGGCATATAGCAACAGCTATCCACTGCCTTCCACCCGCAAACAGACGGCCAAGTTGAGCAGATGAATGCAACGCTAGAAGCATACCTGTGGAACTTCTGTAACTATGTGCAATCTAATTAGAAGTCATTACTACTGATGGCTCAGCTCGTAATTAATGGCAGGGATGCCATGAGCACTAGAATAAGCCCATTCTTCCTAGACTATGGGTACAACCTTGAACCACTCAATATTAAGGAACTTGACTGAGAGGCTGCTATTACCAACGCGGCCCGAACCCCATGAGAGAGAGCCAAAGCTATAGTTATGAAGATAAAGGCAGCCATAGAGATAGTGTAGTTAGAGCTAGCTGCTGCACAGCAACATCAGGAGGAATATTTAAATTACTCTCACAAAGCCAGCCCTAGATACACTGTTGGTTCAAAAGTATGGCTAGACCTGCGTAATGTGTGGACAGACCAGCCAAGCAGGAAGCTCAACACACAGCATGGGAAGTTTACAGTCCTTAAGGCTGTTAGATCTCATGTATATTAGCTAGATATACTACCAGGAATCCATAATGTGTTCCATGTTAGCCTACTGTGTCCTGCTGTAGATGACCCCTTCCCAAGCCAGCTGAATGGCGACTACCAGCCACCTGCAATGCTAGTTGATGGTGAGGACGAATATTGTGTGGAGAGGGTGCTGGATGAATGTGAGAGACGCATTGGCTAAGGCCGCCGCCATGAGTATCTTGTTAAATAGGTAGGGTATGAACGCCCCATGTGGGAGCCGGTGGCTCACCTTGCTGATACTGCCGCGCTGGACGAGTGGGAGGAGCAGCAACAACCCCAACAGGGGAAGGAGGGTAGTGTAGCGGGCAGGGCCCGCTGGGTGCTCATGCTATTCAACAGCCCTCGCGAGGTCTTATCCAAACTGGACACCAGCTGTCAGTCACGTGACTTTTGTACTAACCAATGTAATAACCCGCGCTATCACATGACCCAAGCCTTCCCTTTTGATGTCCGGCCATGATGCGCCCCTAGTTAGACTTCCTAGCGATTTCTTACCATCCAAACCTAGGTCATAGGTTGAACCGGCTTCTAGCCCGTGACACTAGCTCCTTACTAGTTCTCAGGCTCCTTAGTGGAAGCTGCAGGTCTGGCTATTATTTATTCTTTCATGATCTTAGTTAATAGATTATATTGTCATCTCTAACTGTTGGCGTTGTTGGCACGCGAAGGGTTCTTTGCAAGAGGAGGTAAGATCAGTGCTTAACATGAAAAAGAACACATTTGTTGCTGGATCTTAAACCTTCTAATAAAAGAAATGATGCAGGAAGTGATGCTTAGTTTTATATAATGGCACTGCTCATATTCCAATAGTATGGTAGTATTTTGATAGAATCTAAGCATAGAGAAGAGGGGGAAGAAGTATGTACATAGTGGGGAGATATGTAAACAGAGGGTGGAACAGTATAAACAATCTAAACAGCCCTGGAGAGGTAAGCGGTCAAGATGGGCAGAAAGCTCTGTGTAAGGAGGTCCGCGGGGAACATGGTGACGGATTGTCACACTCTGTAGCTCAAAATCTCAATTCCCAACTGGGTGACAGCCAGTTCACTTATCAGGCATGAATTGCTGAGTTCAATTGTGAGCTACTATAGAGCAAGTTACCAACTCGTATTAGCGGCTGGCAAAGCGAAATATTGCGTGGCTGCCGATACTAAGGTGAATTTTAAGACAATTACATCAGGTCCTGATTCGAGAATTGCGAGCTCAGGATTGAACTACGATATTCCTAGTTTCATAGTGAACTACGGAATGCAAAGTTTTAGTATCTATATGTTATTGGTTAGCGGGACGCGCTATTTGAGCTAGTTTGAGCCATGAAAAATAGGCCGAAAGTGCCTCAGCGTAAGTCCCAGATCTTCTATTGGCGAAAGATACCGAGATTAGCAACCAAGGTATATTCTCTGATTTACTGCGATAAAAACAGGGACACTGGTAAAACATGGCTTGTATCCATTGTTGAGATCGTCACCTTTGTTTCGATGGAGGTCAAGATCACAGGTGGCTGGCTCTCAGCATTTTTCCCCTGCTCTGCTGTTGACTTTGATAGCCCAAGTTAGCAATGAAGCGCGCTTCAGGAGCACGGCGTTGCTATAAAGACGCCAGCCTTGTCCCAAATACTCACCATAATTCGGCATAGACCAACTCAGACTTTTGTTGAATCCTCCTCCATTTCTAGATCGCTGCATGATTACTTCGGCATGGCTTGGTGTAGGGCCATACTTATTTGCATGCCGTGGTGGCAGAAGCTCACGGGGTGTAATAGCACCAATGATGATGGATAGAGTAAAGATAAATAGGCTCTGTTAATTAAGAAGGCGCCCACTGTTGAAGAGATGACAATTGTGAGTACTTTTTGTGAGGTTGCCTCCAGCCATCTAATGCTTCCTTGCGCAGACCACCTCTGCTATGTACATCAACGGAAAAAAAATCATAGAGCAGGTTGTCTGGGGGACTAAGCAGATTGATGACCAAGGAGACACCTGCATTAGTAACTGTGATTTAAACAGCACTGCGGAAACCAGACATTCTGGGCTTAGCTCTGTTAGCCTTTCAGGCTAAAGCATAATTATCGAGGACGTGAAGGCCCTGGAAGAGCCTAAACTCTTTGCTGTTCACCCTCCTTATATTGATGACTCAACCAGTGAGCAGATGGTCAGACTCTACTATAAGCTCCCAGTAAAACTCAAGGACCTTAAGATCATAGGTCTTGAATCTGGTATTCTAAAGCCTAATGATGATTCAGTTAAGGCGCGTGTTAGCTATCAAGGACAGGATTTTTGGCTACATTTTCCTATTTCTTATGTCAAAGATCAAATGGTCTTAATGAGTGCATACTGAGTGGTCTGACTTCTTCATTGTTGTTATTTTCTTTTGCTGGCTGCTGGCCGCTCCGTGTTATCATGGTATTATATGAAACTGATAGTTCTATCTCTATAATAGAGTATGTCACAAACTACTTTCATCCCTGACAAGAACATAAATAGGTGTCAATCTGCTGAGAAGAGGATGACATGAAATCAACTTCATTTAAGCAATGGTTCCCTTTGTATATGTTATTATTGGTATATGGATGGGAACTTTTCTTGTCTTAGTTGCCCTGAACGCCTGCTTTAAGAAGCACATTGCTGATCCTGAGTCCTGTGCTGCCTTTACTGGTTATCTTTATAAAGAGTAACATGGATTCTGTATGTCCTTCTCTGGGCATGGTTATGGCCCCCAGTACTAATATATTAGATGGAAATAAGGAAGCGGCAAAATACAGGGGCAGGAAGGGAAGGACTATTCTAAGGAAGAAGGATAAAGAAGAAAATAAGGGTGTAAGGGGTCTAATGCTCATTAGCGTCCACTGGCTGATGGGTTGTAGTAAGAAATAGGTGTTCATACACTCCAAGACATCAACCCTGCTGTTATGAGGCCGCCATTAATCTACTGGAGAGCTGGAGAAGCGCTGAAACATGATTGGGATAAGGAGTCACCCAGTTTGCGCCTTTAGTGGCCGTGCTGTAGCTGCAGGATGGAAGTACTAGTAATAGTCTGTTATATTTATTACCATGAGTCTTGCCCTGAGTGCTTATACATGCAAGAGTGAGATTACAATGTTGATTAGATACACAGGCCTTGATACTAGGACTAGTTACCACTAAAGCAGTGCTCAACTATAACAGTGGCGTTTAGTACTTTATTATAGCTAAGAAGAGAGGAGAGTTGCTACTTCTAAGTACTTTAGAGAGGTGCTCCTCCCACTACTGTTGCTTAGGAGGGAAGATACTCTATTCTTAACTAAGGACTACATGAATTTAAGTTCATGCAATCATATAATCCATGGCATGCAATCTATGTTGTATTAGATGCAGGAAGTAGGATAGAGAACTGAAGTATTATACTAGATTCATGCTAGCAGGGCAGAGAAAGATATTATACACTACTAGAGCCCCTACATGACTTCCCTGTCTGCAGCTTGTCATGCATATATTATTTACATGTGCCATAAAAACCTAGGTAGTGGTAGTCCAGAACACCCTTTACCTCTAACCTATCCCAAAATCTCCAGCTATCCTTATCCACTTGTCTAAGCTGAATGAGTTATCAGCTACCATTCGCTACGCACGCTATACAGGGCTCCCCAGATAGGCTGTACCAAACTAGAAGGGTCATTGCTGCCAATCAGCTAGTCTTAGGATTAGCCAAGGATTACACTGTATAGCTATATAGGGGATTGCAAAAGCCATATCCAGACTCCAGTCCTAAAAAAAGTGAAATAGTAAATAAAAAAATAAATAAATAATAAAAGTCCCAGATGCTGCTTCTACTTCTATATTTAATTATTATCTAATACCCCAGAGGCACAGGCATTCCAATCTCTTATTACTAACACTGAAAGACTGCCATTCCCCCATCTTTATGCTCTAATACTTCTTCTTCTCATGTACTTTCTCCCTCCTTTAAGATCTTGAGTGTTCCCTTGAGCTACTAGATAAATTCTCAGCTGTTAGTCACTAATTATCTCTTCTTTTAACTTGACTTTGTGACGCCATCCTTATTTACTGTACATATCCCCAGAGCAGAAACAAAGAAAAGGACTAAGCAGACTTAATCTAATTCTAACTTTGCTGCAGCCTGTTACACCTACCCATCTATATGCTGAAATTAGTTACTAGCATCCATCTTGTAGCATCTTCTACTTCCCAGGCCGATCTTGCTTATTTACTCTTGAACCCTGTAGGGTGTTTGGTCTCTGTTCTCAGGTGCATCCTGTGAGTAGTATGTCATTACTTGTCACGCATACTACCCCTCTCAACTCTGTCTGATGGGCGTCAATCTGCCTCAAAATAGCTTATCTGCCTTTAGAAGCAAACTATAGCAGATGGTGGGGTCATGGACTCAAACTGCTGTGCTAGCTTTTACTTCTATCTTAATATTCTTATCTTAATTTTAGGACTTTCTTATTACTATATCTTATTTCCTCTTAAGCCTTCTGGCATGCTGCATCTTTTTAAGTATTAAACCAAAGCTAATCAGTAGCATTTACTTGCTATTACCCTACCAGACCTAGATTACTGCAGCCTTATCACCATCTCAGATCACCTTGTTCTGATCCTGTTGGAAGAGCATAAGACCTTTAAGATAATATATATTACCGCCATTGTAGGTGTAAACTTGCTCTGATCCTGACAGCATTTTTATGTGTTGAGCACTATCTACCTCTTAGTAACCCAGTAACTGTACTGCCTGATAAACATCCAACTTGAGATTATCTAAATAATACACCTGCTTAAGGAAACCTGCTGTACCTTATTAATATCAACCTATTAGATTACATAATGGTGTTCAGCGCACCTGCTCCTGGGGTGGGCTCTAGTAAAAGGCTAGCATCATATATATAGGATGATGTTAATAGCTAGGATAATGTCCTAGTAAGTAATACTAGTATTAGAAAGACATATATAGAGCTAACTCATCTCCTACATAGCTAATGGGTCTATCCATGTATTTATTAATTAACATCCCTTACGCCCACTATGCCATGATCTATCTAGATAATATAGGCAGACTTAAGGTGACAGAATCTCTATCTATCTAGAGCAAAATGGGACAGTTTTCACCCCTAAAGTCTCTGAAAGATTTATGGAAATCCTTGGTGCTAAGATTTGGGTATCAGTGCCCCATGGTTTGAGGTATGTAAACCCTCCGCGCACAAGTATGATATTCTGGCTAATCTTATTTAAACAGTGCTGTCAGGTGCCAGTGCTGGTGCTACACTATATAGCTATGATCCTTAATAACTGCTTGGTCACTCACCCTACCATTAAAGTAAGTAGTGCAGAGATTCCCTAGCCCACTCTATATATGGTGTGCCGCCATCCATCTAGTTCTTAGGCTGCGTTGAGGAAACGCCCTCTTGTGGATTAGTGGATAGGGTTGGGCTTAAGATCAGTAATACTCCTAAAGTCCTTAACTACTATGAAAGATCCTTGATGCACTTCTAGCAGCTTAACTATTATTAGATTGCTAAAGTATTTATTAAGTTCATTAAGCTAAGAAAGCAAGTTAAGCACCCCTATAATAGATGTAAACCAGGAGACCCTTATAGTAAGGAGGGTGATTTAGAGAGGATAAAGCCTGAGTAGTGGCCTACTAATGTGGTTTATAAGGAGCCTGACCATCTTTAAAAGGATTATATGTGTACCCCTATAGAAAATCTGCCATATCAAGGAACTTTACTAATAGATTTAGAATGCCTGTCTCTGTTAATCTATATCATCCGCAAGCTCAGAAGATTTGGTATTACTATAGATTAATTACAGGAAATTGCCCATGATTACAAGCAGCAGCTTACACAGCCTAATAGATTCTAATTCTTAGACAAGGTCTTCAGAGTAAGAAGGATGGAAGAACACTATGAAAGAGGAGAAGTTGGTAAGTAGCATCTTTTTATAAAATTTATTTTAACAGCTGCTGATGAGCCTCCAGATGCTAAGATGATTGTATATATTATTAACTAAGAGTTGAACCTGAAAGAGAAGGATACCAACTCTAATGTGTATCCAGACCAGAAACATAAGTAAGAAGATGATAATGTGGATGAGGCACTTCCTATTTACTACTCTAAAGTAAACTTAACTAGCCTAATATCAAGCTTAGTTAAATATATGGGTATAGTGGCACTAAGTGGCCTAATAAATATAGGAGATAATAGAAACTAGTTATCTCCTTTACTAGAGTTATTAAGCTTTGGTGAGACACTCTAAGATAATTAAACCTTCTTTCCTATAACCTCTAAGTATACTAAAGATTATGCATTGCAGCAGATGCTTGGAACCCCTGTAATAATAGTGCTTATTAGCCCTAATGAGACACCTGCTGCTTTTAATTATATGATACAGGTGCTTATCACCTCCTCTGCCCTAGAGCAGATTTCCTACCACCACTAAGCACCCCTGCCCATGTAGTACTCAGCCAGCTTTAACCCTTAGACGCCTTTATTCTGATATAATCTCTTCAACCTAATAGAGTATAGTATTGCACCCAGTCACACTATATCTTAGACTACTATGTCATATCAGCTTCCCATGACCCTAATATCTTATCTCTAGGAAATGCCTCACATGGCTCACAGCCTGCTGAACCTACCTTATGACAGATCTTTAAGCATGGATGGCATGAGCATAAGAGGCCCTTCTTTCCATAGAAGATCTTTAAGTCATCCTTGTGATCCATCACAGCAGGCTCCTAATTCTAGCTGATGTGGCCATCCTGACAGTTGGGCTCAACATAGACCATATGCATGATCTTAAATAATTAATCCTTAACCACTGTTTTGATCCTCCTGCAGCCTTGGAGTTTTGGATTACTAATAATTATTTTATAACTTCCTTTCTGTTTCTTTCTCAGTCCCTGACTTTATTATTAATGCAGACTTAGCCATGCGGCCTATTCCACATTAAGTAACTGCCAGGACACTCTGTGGTTTATATAGCAGGTATTATTAATGAATTCCCTAATTCTTCTTTGTTTAGTATATATACTCATTGCTTGTTCTATGTTTGAGCATGTCTTTTTCCTTATACATATGTTCAAAAATTCTGTTGGAGATGGCGCTAGATGGCATGATGTAAATATGGCTGATGTTCTTATGCTTATTCATTTTACTTTTTCTCTTAATTATGATTGAACAATTGGCTGTGAGGTGTTGCGAAGCTCATTTTCTTTAGACGCCAATCAGCTAAATTTAGTAATCAAAGTATCCTGTAGTTATGTAGATGACAAGTATGACCTTGCCATATATTCTGGAATGCAGGAGGTGGTCAAGCCTTGTGCGCAGGGGCCCATGGTCAGTCAATCTCTGTGTTCATATAGATTATTCCAGCTATGTTTTAAACTAACAGTCCTGCGCACTCTTGAGCAGGTAGAAGTAGAAATTGAAGTTATCTTATAGCAAATCAAAAGCCTGGATTAACCCAAGCTGTTAGTTGTTAGAAAGATTATGTGCTTCCAGCCACTCCTTGGTTTTTGAATATTACCAACGCTAGAGTACTGCATGGTACTTTTAGTCATAATAGTAGTCAAAGATTCCTGAAACGGCCATTCTCTGTTAATACCCCTCTTAAACCAGGGGAAGTTAGAAGTCCTAGCAAAATAATTCTTGATACATACGTTGAGATTGAGCCATTGCAAGTAATTATATTACCTATGTTGCCGCCCTTTTTCATTTTAGACACTAATTTCTTAATAACGTCTTAATAACTTCTCAATAACTTCTTAATAACTTCTTAGTAATATATGACAAGTTTCTGGTCAACTTCTCAGAAATTACCTACCACTGCTTTAGAAATGGCTTACCTAGGTTAAAATAAACACACCATCCTAAAGCACTCAAACCTAGATGACGCATTTGTAAGGCTGTACAAAGTCTCTAAAGAGGTGAACATCCTCCATCAATTTGCTAGAAAACAGTAAGCAGGACTCATCTCTAACATAGTTTACATCATGAGCACTGAGCAACGCAAGGGACCATTCCAAGATTACTAGAAGTTCCTACATAACATGCTCAAGGCAGCTAGACGCAACATAGTCACATTATGCTCTGGCAGCCTAGGGAAATCTTAAGTTATTAGTCTGGGCCCAGGGGGCAGGACAGCTTTGGTGAAGTATATTACTGATAATAGAAGTTGTTTAGATTGCAAACCACTATCATCTTTGGCTACTCTGTACAAGGTTCCACGCGCCGCAGAGTTATCTCTTAAAGATTATCAATATCTGATAACAAGATCACTGAAGGTTCATTTCAATCCTATCTAGTTCTTAGGCAACATTAATGTATTCAGGCAACTGATTCCAGGTTGACAAAAGCCAGCCAAGACAAACATCCAGATCCTTTAGTCTGTGAGCTAATTCAATATCTCATAACCTAAATAAGAATTCTTCCTTCATCGCGGAAACCTATCTTCCTAACTAAAGTATGATTTCTCTGCTCTATCATACACTGCTACTAACAAAGTGTAGACCACAAGAATTCTAAAGGTCCTACCACTGTACACCTCAACCTTGCGGTAATTAAAGTTCTACAAGACATTGTCAAAGAAGGGCATGGTGACTAACTACAGATTATTTTCCCTAACCTATTTGTTTAGCAGCCGTTCATGCTCATTCCACTAGAGATAGTGAGTAAGATTATGCAAAAGTATACAGTATAAATAGCTTAACCAGTTTCCTGGTCACTTCAGCTACTTATAAACTTTACCTGTAAGCCTTCCATACACTAGTAGTAGAATCCTGGGTTAAGAAACACCATTATAATATCCCCCTCCATCAATATTAAGTTGTAGGTCTTTATACAGACATTTCCCTTCAAGATGCTGATAGTTGCATCCCTTTTAACATGCCTGTTGATGATAACAGCCATTATATGGTCATATGGTCCCCATACCTAGAAAGGATCAGGCATTATCTAATCTCTATTTTCCAGGCCTGCCCCCTCTATCTCTGCATCAATGTATTTAGTCTAGTAGAGGTTAGCCTTCATGACTTTGCTAGTGAGCTTAACATGTACCTTATTCTTATATGTCTCCAAGAGCTGTCTATTGTTTTCTGCAATGCGCGCAATGCTTTGTGTATGTAATCTGTCCATAGTATATTCAAGACACGGAGTTAGCGCGGATGGATATAAAAAAGGGCCTGAGAATACAATAATTAACTGTTTAACACCACCAGGTAGTGAAGGTTTCCAGCCTAGCACTCTGATGATAGCTCTGGCAGAAAAGCTCAGCTAAAGAGGCAAAAATGCCTAAGGAAAGGTAAGAAAATCCCAGTAACATAGTAGATAATATTTCTGCTGGTGGCTAAGACATTTAGGGGAGCATAAATATATTACATGAAAAGGTCACTTCAAGAGCAATGTGGCCTTCTAATACTGAGGGGGTCCTAGTAGGGAAGGTCATGAGGAATATTTAACTAATTAGTATTATGAGATTTAGGCTAACTCACTCCAGTGGCCCTACTAAAATAATGACTACAACTGGTATACATAGTCTAGACACTTTAGGCAGCAATACCTACATCTAAGTATCACATATCACCCTAACAAAACCTCTACTCCGGCTTTTACTGAACCTGACATTCCCAGCTGATGCAGAAGATATGGTTATCTCTATAATAATGTTCATATTTAATAGTAACTTTTATCAAAGCTGCAGCTACTGTAAGGGGAGCCATATACAATTATTTAGAAAGAATATGTCTGGGTATTGCTCAGGATGCCTCTTAGTAAACAGACAGATTATTCCTATTATAAGCTGCTATATAATATGTCACTTAATAATAGTTGTCCCATTATTGCAATAACTCTCAAATTAAACTTTCAGTTTAAATCTAGTAAACGTTCATGCTGGGTAACATAGAGAAGTAGTGGTAGAGAATACACTAGTAGAGGTAGCTTGAGCAAGGAGGGTTATTAAGTAGGAAATCATAAATCTTCTTAAAGGCTTCCTTATCACCTTTAATTTTATTTTCATTCTTACCATCTGCCCACAGTGCTGTGAACCCTCTGCTGAAATCAACTAAATAAGCATCAGTATTCATATTAATAAGAACGTTATCTGGCTTCGCATCTCCCTATGCAATATTGTGCGCATGAAGACTATTAAGTAAATAAGATATTTAGTTAAGCTATTTTTATTAGAAGGAGGAATATGCAGGATCATTTCTGATATAGAGTAACATTCCAACCTTAGAGTTAATATATAATAATAGTAACCTAATAATATGACTATTATCCTCAACCACACCATCTAGCTTTGATGTGTGAACTGAGGAGTTAAATCCAGCAGATCAAATTTTTATATAGGCCTTAAATTCCTGGAGAGTGCTATTCGCATCACCTAGAAAGACAAGCTTAAAGAATTAAACATGCCCTCTAATAAATACCTTATGGGGTATCACGGGGAGCCCATGGGAATCTTTATTAATTAGTAATTATACCTCATCTAGGTAAAAGATCAGAAATACTAAATATATAGCCTGCTCCAAAGGTGTAAATAAAGCACCAACAGAACATCCTTTAGGAGGGTTAAGCTTTAATAGAGATAATTTTCCTTCTACTATGACTAATATATAGCATAATGTTTCAGCAGACAGCTAATCTTTCAGAGTATACTTCTAACTACAGTTAAGAGGGAAGACTGTCTGAAAGATAGAGAGGAAAGGCATTAACACCTATTCATACAGATCTTTAAGAGGATCACTAAATTCCACTTCCACTTTGTTGGCTTTGAAATTTTCCAGGTCAACACACTTAATATGGCGGTAATACTCACTTAGTAACACTGGTGAATCCTTAAAGTTGGATGCAGAAAGCTTAATCTGATAATGTTTGTCTAAGACATAAATATTTAACTAGGTATCTGTACTTATTCCACTAAACTAAAACAGACTAATATCATAAAGTGCTGTTGAAGCCATTGCACAAGTAATTAATGAGGATTGAGTATATTAAATAGCTATGTCAGATTCCTAAATAAGTGGGAGAAAGGAAGGTTTATATACTTCATAATATACACCCTAGGTAATGCTGAGACAAGTTACAGAAAGAGGAACACAGCTATTTTTAATCATAACAGTTAGGGCAGTCTGGCAATGGGCGGCTATCATTGGTCAGCGAAGTCAGGGGTAAGCACAAGCACTGCTAAATATGAATGCTTATGCACTAGCATCATAACTGCTTGTCTTATCCTATTCTTTTTAAGGCTGTTCCAGTGGTCACCAGGATAACTGCAACAGCCAGAACAGCTTGTTAGGGAGTGGAGGTCTTGACCTGCATATAGAAGCCATATCTTTACAAGTATCTTTCTCACCAATCCTGAGGACTCTCCACGATACTATAAGATATTTACTCAGTGGTATTTTCCCTCATCATCCCTGCTGTTAGAGCTCATAGTCCCCCCTTTGGGCTTGGTGCATCCTCATCTTCTTTTAATTGATAGGAGAAGTTTATATCCAGTTGTTGAGAATGACTAGACCAGAAGAATAATTGATTGCGCACCAACTCGGATACCTCTTATGTGAGCACATTATATTGTGGGGATGAGCCACCCACTCCAGTTCTACTTTCAACCCTAGTTCTTAGCTTCCGTGCAATGTGAAGTAGACTAGTCGCAGGTCTAGAGTCTGTCTGATTTAGAAACATGATGTTCTAACCAGCATTTTCGAAGGATAGCATTGATGAAATTCCGAAGTATGGGACTAGTATAAGACATATTCCACTAAACTCTCTTTGCTAAGCTGACAACATAGCCCTGCGGTATCTACAAGAGAATTTACTCAGAATTTACTCAGAAGTTATTAAGAAGTTATTGAGAAGTTATTGAGAAGTTATTAAGAAGTTATTAAGAAGTTATTGAGAAGTTATTGAGAAGTTATTAAGAAGTTATTAAGAAGTTATTGAGAAGTTAATGAGAAGTTATCAAGAAGTTATTAAGAAGCAATTTTACCTCTTTACCTATCTGAAGCAGTAGACAGATCTAGACCTTACAGTTCTCCGGCTCTCTTAGAAATCAGTAACTAGCCAGCTACTACTCTTTATCATATATCATTCAGCTCTAGCTAGCTACATGTCTAGTGCTTTGTTGAGGTGTTGGATCAATCTGATAAGTATGCAGTGGCTTAGACCTTGTAAACATCATGTCACTGGGTAAGCTGATGATACTCTTTGTACCTTCCAACAATATAACCCCCAAATGCTAAATCCTTATTTGTAGGAATCTTCTCCAAGACAGAACATACTAGGATGATATTGAGTTAACCTAGCTTATGTAATAGTAGCTAGTAATCATGAAATTTGACTACACATTGCATTCAGGAAAAATGGTTAAAATAGATATATCATTATTATTAGTACTCTGCTATCCTCCATCCACTCCTCTAAGGCTAGTAATCTCATACCGTCCCTTGGCAAAGCATACTCATAATTAGTTAATTAATTAACAGACCTACACCACTTACTTCTCTGCAGAACTTCCTCATAGAGGTAATTTATATAATTGCCAGGGCATGTGGTGAAATGATTTTCTTATAGTTAAGTAGGGGCCCTAATTATAAAGAGGGATAATTAGCCTCTAGAGACTACAAGAGCTCAGCAGAATTCTCTATTAACCTAATTCCCTTAGTTACATCTCATTTCAGGATATCATTCTTTCTTCTTTTCCAACCGGCCTTTCAAAGATGTGTGGCCGTCAGTATAGGAAGTACCAATGCAGCTGCTATATTTTAATGCCAGGCATCACTTATTACCATGAAGTAGGGCGAAACCAGAGGACTAGAAGATAAATAATGTGTGGGAAGGAGAGAACCATCATAGACATGGCTGACTATGGCCTGTGCAATAAAACAGAATGTTATGTCCATGACCTGGCATCTAGTGGCTAGAAGTGCTGTCTATACTAGCACATTAATAGACTAGGCAATGATATCTGCGAGGGCTCTATTCTTAGTTAGTGTGGGCAAACTCTATGTGCTCATCATGTCTGCTTAGCTTACAAGTACGCCTAAGAGGTTTATGCCATATCTACTCACTATAAGATACTCTCTTAATATTTTATGAAAAGGTTAATGTTGTCTAATTCTACCTACCTATCTACTTAACTCAGACCAATCTAGTCTCAGTGGTGTGCGCCAGGATCAAATGGAGGTTGAGGTCATGATTTATTTAGAGTAGATATGGTCAGGTTTTGAGCTCCCACTATTAGTAGGAAATGCTTTAACTAGACCACGCATAGCATAGTACTTGTATGCAGTATATACCTTCTCCTTAAACATAACTTCTATTAATAGAGCTATCACTTCACTTTGCATTTAAGGTGATACAAGTAGATGATTCTATATTAATAGAATTCCCCATTCTTACTTCCACTTCTTCAAAGTTCAGTTCTGATTTTTACCCATTCTAGCTTGAGAAAAGGTGGCAGAATAATACAGCTTATCTAGGCCAGCATCTTCCTTAGCTATTTAGTCTGGTACATCACCTCCCAAGCCATTACATTGTCTAGGATCTACTAGATATGTAGGGATACTCCACGTGCTTTAACTCCTTAGTAGATTAAGATATAGATTTATAACTTGCTAACCAGGCCTATTCCATGAGTTACCGATTATCTGCAGCGCGGATGTATTTTCACTGAGGAGTGTTGCAGGCCCTGAATCAATCAATAAGGCATACTAACTGTCCTGGGCTATCTGGTAGACCAAGCTAATGGCATAGTAAATTGCTATTAAATTAGCTATATACATGACCATTATTCCACTAAGCTAATACTAAGTTATTAAGATTATGCTACAGTATTTTCAGGTTTCATAAAGAGTTCTTGCCGGGGGCCTGCTGTTAGTTATGTTGCGCTAATGTGTTCCACCAACAAATCATTAAGAAGGCTTATGCAA